TTAAAATTTCTATGGTAACGGCTAGAGCAATTGTTTAAAAAAAAAAAGGTGGTAAGGTGTTAATAATTTGTATCAATATCTCAGTTACATTCAAAGATGTCAAGTCAGGGTAAGGTTGGGGTGTCTAAATTTAAAGCGGAAGATGACATCGTCTAGTCTGGTTAAGTGTCTATGTAGATTTATTTATTTTTTATTTTTTTTTTTTTTTCTGAAAGGGTTTTGTGTATATAAAAAAAAAAATAAATTGCTAACATTTTTTTTTTTGACGACTTCATAAAGGGTTTTTTTTTTTTTTTTTTTTATTGGGGCATTTAAACTATTTATTTAGACTATGGATTTTAAAATTTATTTTTTTGTTTGTTTTGTTTTTTATGCTAATTATTCAATGCAAAAATTTGATGATGTCGGCAAAAAACCGTTAACTCATGTCTATTGTTTAATAGATTTTTATTATTAAGAAACTTAATAATATGTAGTTTTTCATGTAGGCATAAAGGGCATGGGTCATCCCAAGTTTTACAAGTTCTAGTTTTGTTTATAATTTTCCATTTTACTTGTGGTGTTTTATTCATTTTCTTCAAATGCCAAAAATATTCAGATAGAGATGTCTGATTTCTTTTATTTATATTGTTGAAGGAGCAATTATGCTGCCTCCATTTGGTTTTATATTCATTCTTCGTAGACCCAATGTATATCATATTAGCGATGAGATAGTACATTGGTATACCACAGATTTAACGCAGCATTTATTTTCCAATGGGCAGTCTTCTGGGTTTCTACAATCACATAATTTTTCACTATCTTTGTCTAATTTAAGTGTAGGGTTTTTATTAATACTATTCTGGCATGGGGGTTTTATTCAGGATTTTATTATTGTGTTTTTTATTATACTTTTTAGATTTTCAGTGCAACTGTAACTTAATTTTAGGGTGTTTTTATTAAATATTTTACTAAGTCTACTATTGGTAGGAAAGTGTTTTTCAATTAAAGCTAGGAATTTCTGTCCTAGCTTAATACTAACCATTTGATTGAACGGAGGGGTATACCAAATGATTTTTCTTTTCCTGTTTTTCTTTTGGTTAGTACAATTGTTTCTATAATTGATGTTAGCATTTTTGTATCCACTGTTTTTTAGGGCTGCGTTATAAAACACGTAAATTTCAGAAATAAGTTATTCCAAAAAAAAAAAAATTCGATTGAAAATGGAACAGAGCTTAGTACTTTCAGTCAATTTAATTCAAATAATTATATTGAAGTTTTCGGCTCTTGTTTTGAAACATGAAAACTCTTATGTAGCGTGTTGGAATCATATTTTTAATTAAATAATTATATTTATGCTCAACTTTTGTATCGAGAACTATTTTTTAAAAATAATAACAAAAATATTAAAGAACTTTGGATTATTTACCTAATGTGTTCTTTCCTATTTTCTATATATTTTTAAAATATATATATATATATATATATATATATATATATATATATATATATATATATATATAAAGAAATATTTCTTAATCATGTGTTATATTTATGGGATAAAGTGCTCAATATCAGAGATAGATCAAGTGCAAATATAAAAGTGAACATAGAAGTCAAGACTTATAGGCGACAGTCTGTTTCATGCTAGCATGTGTGTGTGTGTATATACATTTTTAAGTAATTTATAATATATATATATATATATATATATATATATATATATATATATATATGTATATATATTGCTAAAAATTCTTTTAAAATATTCGCATCAGACCTAAAAATTTATTGTTGTTGTCATTATGTAAGGAATTAGCATATATATATATATATATATATATATATATATATATATATATATATATATATATATATATATATATATAACTGGAGTTTATATGCATATATATGCAGCTCAAACTATATATATATGCAACTCATTATATATATATATATATATATATATATATATAACTGGGTTTATATAATTTGATATATATATATATATATATATATATATATATATATATATATATATATATATATATATATATTTTATATATATATATATAACTGGAATTGCATATATATATGAAAATTTGAGCTGCATATACATACATATACATACATATATATATATATATATATATATATATATATATATATATATATATATATATATATATATATATATATATATATTACAGTGAATCATTCATACAAAAAGTAGGTTAGTAAAGTTAATGATATAAAATGGCGAAATCCCTTCGTTAACAAAATTTTAAAGTTACATTAACCTACAAAACACTCGATGAATGTTATGATCCTTGTTCTTTAAATTATAAACTGTATTAGTTTTTCGCTAAATATACAAGTACTTTAGACTGATTAACTTTACTAATTTACTTTTTGTTTGAGTCATTCATTGTAATATAAATTAAATACCAACATATATTTGAAATCTATCTATCTATCTATCTATCTATCTATATATATATATATATATATATATATATATATATATATATTGAGGCAAGTTTGAATAATGGGATGGATAGCAGCTCGTATTGAAGGATCGGATAGCCGAGTTCGAATTCCAGTCGTGTTCATTCTATTTGATTACGTGCCTTGATATGAATCCATCTCTTCTCCCCGACTAACTATGGGGTAAACTGGCTCCTATAGTCTTGGATGCCGGACGGTCTAGGTTAAAAAACTCTGAATTCCAAAACGGCAAAGTCTTATTTGGTGGTGGTGGGGAACTTGTTGCATACCGTGCACCGGTTCTCTCTATTCGCTTCTTTCAAAAAGTGTGAGTAGTTTTGCACACGCCTCCACCACTATAGCAACAAACGATATATGCGCGTAGTCTGACATTTGATTCTAAGGACTCAGCTGCTTGATCCTCAGACTTTGTAAACGCCAGGATATATATATATATATATATATATATTCAAATTCTAAAAAAAATATACAAGCCAAGGTATTTATTTTAGCGTCATTCGCTTTTTTTATGACCACAATGGCAATATCTACACCCTAGCTAATTGTGTTACTATGAGAAATCCTTTCGTTCCGTGCTTCTCCAATTTCTACATGTCCCACGTATTAAACACGATATTTAAACAAATCATTAAACCTAAAATATATGTCTGCTATTTAAATATTTGTAGCGAAAAACAAACAAGATATTCGTAATCTCAATACCACATTCGAAAAAATCCCTGTCCTTAACTTTCCTTATGAACTAAAAAAATAAATTCCCATTCTTAGACGTTCTCGTATAATTCAGAAACAACACATTCACCACTTCATAACACATACACACACACACAAAGAAACGAAACAAAAAAATAAAAAAAACAAACACTAGCAGAAACTCTTACCACCTTAATTTGAAGATTTAATGCCCACTTAATGGTACTTATAAAAATTTCCCTCAGGAGCGCACACAATAAAACCCTTTTCCTTAAAGAACTCAATAATATAAAAGAGACATTAGTTAACAATGGTTTTCCTAACTACCTCATCGACCACCAGATTAGACTATTTCTAGTAACTAATAACGATGTTGAGCATACACATAAAAACAATAACATTAACCATTAACATCTTCTACAAAAGCCAAATACATTTCAGCTCTAAGCAGAATTTTCTCATAGAAATATCATAAACAAATACAAAACCCCAGTCGATCTGAAGAAGAAAATTAAATTAATTACCTATTACAAAAATTTAAATATAAATAATTATTGTTCGATTTTATCACGTGATATTTTTGCATTATATCAAGTATTAAGAATATCGTAACTAGGATCCGTAAGTTATAAGAGGGAGTTATCAATGATAATTGTCAGAGTTCGAATACACATTTATCTCCGTTTAACCCTCTCTTTGTCTTTTTTTTTATTTTTAAATGTAGTTTTTATCATATAAAATTTGGTGAGGGTTGAGGAAATTTTCATCATGAAAATGCGGCCCAGAGAATAAAATTTTGGAAAACTTGTCTTAATTCATGAAAAATGCGTGATCTGAATATGAGTCTATGTAGGGAAATCCAAGGGAGATAATCTCAGTATTTGGAATGCGGAAACTGTTTAATTATCAATACTAGATTTATATACGAGTGACTACAGTAATTTGCTTCGACTTTGCCTTATTTTTTGGGTCCAGTGTTTCGAAATGTGCGCATGTCGCCATGTTGGTCATTGCACATGCGTGTTGGAACAAGACATATTTGCGCATTTCAATTCGAACCCTTTTGAAGATCTCCATTGGTGGTTTGGGTTGGTTCTGGCAATGTAGCAGAGAAACATGAAGCGATCCACGATTTTATTCTGGTGCGCGTGTCTTCAGACACAAAATCCAGACACGAAACAAGAGTTTTGTTTTATTTTTCTTTTCTGAAAAGAATGAAAATAGAATCACGTGACTAGCTGAATGTTTATTTTAGCTTTCCTTTTTTTTCTCTTCGTATTTGTGCGTAGCTGTAGCTGAGGTATGACGGGGAAAAAATCTTTGGCTAAAGTGGGTAACATCGTGCGTGTTCTTTGGGGATAATACACTTTTTCCATCGATGACACTCTGCCAAAATTAGGTTTTAGATTCATCTTTATGGCAATAAAAGTTATATTTAATTGTTTGTTGTATTAAATGTTCATCCAGTCCAAGGCTGAAGCGTCACTCAAGGAGGAGGGTTACTACATGAGGCTGTTGTATGGAGGGGGAAGTAAATGTAGATTCTGAGGGTACGTACGATAGGGAAAGGTTGAGCCGTGATTTTAAAAAAATAAATTTATTGATCGGGAAAGCATCCTCTCCGGAGTCTATTCCATGAATAGAATGAAAATATATATAAGTCAATACCCGCGATTATGACACCTGAAATCTGCCCTGTGTCCATGTGTTTGCATGTGTTTTCTTTGTGTTGTAATCTTTCATCAAGCTTGTTAGTTTTGTCAGCCCCAAACTAGACCAACGCCCCTTCTCAAAAGCTGAACTCCATATATTTATATAAGTTGTCACTATCTATTCTATCTATCTATTGTTGAAGTACCAAAAGTTTTCTATCTACTAATAATGTATATTCATATATATAGAGGCTGTGCGCTGCTCAGAATGCATACCGTAAAAAATTAAAACAAAAAGGCCAGGTACTCCAAGCATTGACCTTCGACTAAATGGATTATAAACAATCGTCCCAGAGATGATATGGGTAGTTTCTCACACATCGTAGATTGAGAATATAGGGTCCACGTATCGGATAGGAGCTCGCATACGTAAGACAAGCTGGAAGTAAGTGATCAGATATTGGGATTCATAAAATTTTATGTAATAAAGAATTCAAATCAAGAGTTATCATTCTATCTTGACTATTCTAAGCCCGCCAATAATGATGGGTACGTTTATATATTTTATATTTCATGTTTTTTTAATTTCTCTGAAAAAATCCAGCGATTTGGCTCATTTTCAATTTTAATTTTCAATCTACCGGGACAGCCACATCCACTGTCGCGCATTTTTTGTCTGTTTACGCCATTTCTATCTGCTGATCGAATAATCTGCGTTGACGTTTGCACAGTTTTCACTTGAATGCCGTTCCAACCCCGTCATATATATTATTTTTTATTTCTACTTATTCTTTGATAGTCTTGTTGACAGAATATTCAAAGCTTTGTTTTTTTGCTTAACTTTTTATCTAAATACTACAAACGCTAAATCATTGATTTCAGAGAAACACCTATTCCCGTACGAGCATCGAAGTTAAGCAACGTCGAGCCTGGCTAGTACCTTGATGGATGAACGTTTGGCAATATCAGGTGCTGTAAGCTTGGATGTGCGGGTGGCGTAATGGATAAAGGCTCGGGATGGTTAATCGGAGGTCCGAGTTTCAATTCTTCTAGGGGTTCGCGCTTTATACGTACACCAAATATCCTTGGGAAAGATATTAATCGACCACCTCTCGCCACCAGCTATGGGTTAATTAGTAAAACTTGTATGACTAAATCATTATTATCTCAAAACGAAAAATTCTTACAATCTAAAAAATATCTGGCGTAAAATAATCTGGAAAGTATTGATATGCAAAGTTATTATCATTCTAACACTGTCATCCATATTAAATGACATCAAGGCTTTTATTATTATAACATGATAAAAATAAAACGGACAATTTTTCAAATAAAGTCTTGCAATTAATCTAAATGCATACCCTCGTGTTTAGGAAAAGCTAATGATCAGCACGATTCTACGTGTACGGATGATTATCACCATTAGGGTCACCTGCAAAGGGTTGATAAACCGTAAAAAACGAATCACTCAATCAATCACTGAAATATTGATTAGCTACTCAAGCACGTCTTTTAGACATATTTCCATTCTCTGGAATATAAATGTGTAGAAACTAAAATGGCCATAAAGTGAGAGATCAGTTTATATATCGATTATGATATAGAAATGATTCCCCATTTTATATCTACATTGTAATTTCTTGTTTGTTTATCAGATTTTGATTAGGTATGGATCTACCTCATCTCCCCCAGTTATGGGTCAATTAGTAATACTTGTATCACTAAGCAATTACTATCTTTAAAAGAAATTCTTACAATCAAAAAAATATTTTCTGGCTTTAAATAACTTGCAAAGTATGGATTAGCCATAGGAACCGAATCAATCAATCAATCAATTGATTACCGACTTATCCATGTATTGCTTTTATTTCTTCTTGTGTGTTTTTCTGGAAAGGCCCAGAATGTATATTACTAATCATAGATTAAACATTTTTTTTTAAAACAATTTCTGCTGTTTGGTATTGTCACCAAAATCTGTCTTCTTCGTTCTTGAGTTATACTACCTTGAATTTTTTGATTTTCTTTTATTTGACAGTTTCCATTTTAAATTACATTAATTTTCGGTACGTGAATCTGTTTCGGTTGATTGTTGCTTTTGAGCGCGTAGCTTTACTGTGGAATATTAAGGCCTCTTCTGAAATATAAATTTTGTTATTGACCTGGGTTACGTAGTGTCAGATAATATGAAAATAAAGAAATATTATATCCGAGATATATTAAAACCGTAATTCACGGACGCAAATGAATGGTTGAAAACAATTATAAACAAGCTTTATTCTCAGAGAGGCTTTTATATCACAAAGACATACATAAAATTATATATATATATATATATATATATATATATATATATATATATATAGATAGATAGATAGATAGATAGACACCTAGTGAGCCAGACAAACCTACTTAGGTTTCACCTAAACGGATCGTCAGGAAAAGTAAGGCCTTACTTTCCCTGACGATCCGTTTAGGTGACACCTAGGTAGGTTTGTCTGGCTCACTAGGTGTATCTAGGTCTGCTCTACGGTTGTATTGAACGCTTTTGTTAGTTAGTTGTTTACTCGTATCGGGGTTTTTTCTTTGGGCTTCAGACCTGCATCTGTGCGATTTTTTTGTCGGCAGAAGTTCATGTTTGTAACTCTTTCTTTTTTTAAAACCTTTTTTTCCCTCGAGATTGATTTGATTATTAGCAAATCAAAAATTCAAGGGTTTTTCGAAACGAGTCTAGTTATCTATAATTATATATATATATACATATATATATATATATATATATGTGTGTGTGTGTGTGTGTGTGTGTGTGTGTGTGTGTGTCTACGACGCAGAGAAAAATATATATCATACATATCGTCAAGCAGAGAGATAGGAGAACGAAAATACATATAATAATTACATATCATATGGAGATTGTTCTGTGTTTCTGGAGAAGCAATGTTTAGGACTTTAGATTCAAACGGTCCAATCCATCGACTATGTTCCAGGCGAGGACATATTCCACGAATAGTAAACGTCGAGCCTTGGGTTTTCCTAAATTGAAGACGGCGAGTCGAAGTTTCTTTCTATAGCTGAGGAAGATATATTACTGGACGAACAACACGTATGTCTGATGCATGAATGAATGAATGACCACCTTCGTCTCTCCATGAAATAACGTCATTAAGCGGCCGTCAGATGACCCACGTAACTATCTCGACCAAAGGAAGATAATTTAGCGTTCTTCACATAAGACCCAGTATTAAAAAAAAAGAAAAACAGCTGTAATAAGCGGCCCATTTACCATAGGTGCCTGATTACTTGGAAAACCATGAAACTTTAATATATATATATATATATAATTATTTATTCAAAAATATGATTCCAATTCGCGACATAAGAGGTCTCATGTTTCAAAATATATATATATATATATATATATATATATATATATATATATATATATATATATATGAGTATATTTAGGTCGCGAGTTTGATTAAAAAGAACCGACAACGTCTGTTTAACTTTTTATTTAATTTTTTAAACTTTCAGACAAGGTATTGCGTACTCTGCCCGAAGTTGTGAATAAACTGTCCGAAGTTTATATTTTGTTATTTTTGTTCAAGTTCTTTCGTCTTTCGCAGTCAGTATCAAGAGCCGATGTGTCGTCTGCGTCGCAGTTAGGTTTCCTTTAACTGATATTCTTTGGGAGGCTGGACTTCAGAAATGATATAGGATGCCGTCATGTATAATAACAGTCATTGTGAACGAGGCTGCACGAAATTAATGCGATTTATTTATTTTTCTTATTTTATTTTATTTATTTATTTTATTTTATTTTATTTATTTATTTTTATAAATACTTATATAATATGAACGTACATCTCCTGTGGTGTGTGAGATTTTCTTTTACGTGGCCTGTTTATTTTGAATAAGAATAGTTGCTAGAGTTTTGTGTCTTTCCTTCCATTGGGTGCTGTAGAGCATATAAATGTTATCGACTAATATTTATTTTATTTTGAACCACACACACACACACACACACACATATATATATATATATATATATATATGTATGTATATGAATAAATGTTTACGTTCATTGTTGAATGTACAAATTCGAAGCGTCTTTTGAATTCGTGTACTGTATATTTTCAGTCTTATTTAGAAAAACGAAAATTCGAGTCTTCGTTAGTGAAGAAAATGAAACAAAAAACACAATGGCTTTGACTGAAAGAATTTTTCGTAAACTCTCTTCCCTTGCAGATATATTTCCACTATTTTGCATCCACTTCCCGCCGTTCCAGACTCGCGTAATTAACTCACACTGCACATGCAGACCCAAGTTAATAAGAATAGTAACAGAAATGGTTCGTAAACAGCGTTTGTTTGTCATGACTTCAAAAAGATTTAGCAGCTCCATGTAGTTACTATCTGAGGTGTCAATCGTGCAGAGAGGAAATCGTTTGCTTATTATTTACAAATACCGTGTTTCCTGAACGACACAGACCGCAATAACTGGAAAGCAAGAATGTGTGTTAAAGCCAACCTCTTTTTCTTTTCTTTATTTAGTCATGTGTGTTCGAACTTTCTTCACCAGTGTTAGTGATTAAATTATTAATTAAATCGTTAACCTCCGAAGGACTATGGTCAGGTTTCATCATAGTAGTATCCCAAATAAAAATGGCTGCACATAAATGAAGATGATCTCTGATCGCCTAACTCCCAAAATGCATGCTTCCCTGAATACTACAATCTTAACCATTTCAACTTAAGGGACCATCTCCCTTTCTATCCTTCTTGCCCTGTTCATAATCATCACCTCTTATTTCAACATTACCATTTTTTCATAACCCTCTACTTTGAGTGGCTATCGAGGCGTTCGTTGGGTTGAATTGTAGTAAAAATAAATTTAGCGGTTGGAAAAATCTGTTGATATGCTTATTTTAAAATATTCCGAAGTGTGAATTGCTGAAAAGATATTTGATTTTTCTGTTGTGCATTTTAGAACAATATATCTATTATTTATATATTTTGGTGGAGTAATGGATAGCGGCACAGACTGAGGAATCGAATAGCCGAGTTCGAATTCCATTCGGATCCATTACATTCACATACGTGCTTGGGAAATTTGTGGGTAAATAGCAGGACAGACCGGGTTCTACAACCTTGGGTGGCAACCAGTCCGACAAAAACTCTGAATTCAAAACCAGCCTGGAGAGGGTTGGGCAATTTCAGGCTGGCGGCTTCAGTACACATGATGCCCCTACGGGTCACGTAATAATAAAAAAAGGAGATTTATTATTTAAATTCCAAATTTTAAAGGAATTGTTCCTGCTACCTTTTTGGATTACCAAAGACGAAATAAAAAGAAAAATATTAACTTTTGAATTCTATTTACATTATTCGGACTATTGTCCTCATCATTGTTGCCATATTTATCACAATATTTCGGCCGTTGAACGCTTCGGCCTTCTTCAGGTGTCGAACTGAGCCCTTTATTTCGCTCGCTGATGTAGACTGTTTTAGATCCACAAGAAAGATGAGGACAATAGTCCGACTAATGCAAATAGTGTACATAATACCTCATCTCAGAAATATAGACAGATACTGAAAGGCCGAAACGTTGTAATAAATATGGCGACAAAGATGAGGACAATAGTCCGAATAATGTAAATAGTGTACATAATACCTCATCTCATAAATATAGACAGATTCTGAAAAGCCGAAACGTTGTAATAAATATGGCAACAAAGATGAGGACAATAGTCCAAATAATACAAATAGTGTACATAATACCTCATCTCAGAAATATAGACAGATACTGAAGGGCCGAAATGTTGTAATAAATATGGCGACAAAGATGAGGATAATAGTCAGAATAATGTAAATATTGTACATAATAGCCCATCTCAGGAATATAGACAGATACATTTTTGAATTCCTTACACCTTCAAGAGATTTTTTTTCATCATTTATCAAATGACAGAATTTGATAGT